TATATATATATATATATATATATATATATATATATATATATATATATATGTAACAGGAGAAAAAATGCATACATAATTTTCTCCATCTTTGCAAACGTTTGTTTTGTATACCATCTGGAATGTGTCAAACTGTAAGCATTTTTTTTTTCAATAATAAAAAATAGCTCTAGGTATCAGCCAAAAAAGGTAATATAATCATTGGTTGTATAAACTGAGGCATAGAATCAAAATCACATGAAGTATTAGTACTGCTTTATAAATTCTTAGAAAGTCACACCTGGAATACTGCATCCAATTTTGGTCACCACATTACAAAAAGGATGTTGGGACTGGAAAAAGTGCAAAGAAGAGCAACTAAGATGATTAAGGGCCTGGAAACAAAAACATATGAAGAATGGTTGCAGGAACTAGGGATGGCCAGCCTAGAGGAAAGAAGGACTAGGGTTAACATGATAGCCATATTCCAGTATTTGAGAGGCTTCCACAAAGAAGAGGGGGTCAACTTATTTTCCAAAGCACCAGAAGGCAAGATAAGAAACAATGGTTGAGAAATAATAAAGGAGAGAAGCAACTTGGAATTAAGGAGAAACTTCTTAACAATGAGAACGATTAATCAGTGGAACAGTTTGCCTTCAGAAGTTGTAGGTGCTTCATCACTGGACTTTTTTTTAAAGAAAAGACTGGACAGCCACTTATCTGAAATAGTACAGGGTCTACTGCTTGAGAAGGGTGTTGGACTGTAAAATCTCCAAGGTCCCGCCCAACTCTATTGTTAAGATTTGCTTTTCTCTAGAATCACATTGTTTCAGTATCTTTTCCCTTAACACATTCACCTAAGTGCATATACACAGGGAACGATAAAATGGACTGAAAACAGCTCTCTTTTGGCATGCGTGTGCTTCAGGGTCGTCCTACATCAAGGATATAGGTAAACTTGTGGATGTTACGCACCAGAGGCCAGATGAGATTTTCACAGCTCCGCTTGAGTTCAGGGTATGAGCTAATAACAGATGGGAAAGCATAAATACTAGAGATTTTTCCTGGGGGAAAGGGGATGTTTATAGCTCACTAATCAGCCAGATGCCTGGGACTAGGGATGAAACACATTTTGTCAACTGGTTCACAATGACAACTGTGATGAAACATATGCGGATGTTGCTAAATTGGTTTACTTGTATAAATACAAGTAAATAGAAATTGGTGACTTGAATGTCACCAGTTTTCCATACTTATTTGGACTAGACTCTCAGGGGAGGATGCAGCCTGGTCTAAAATAAACAAAAAAGACAAAAATATAAAGGAGCTGGATCAAGCTTCTTCTAGGATGTTGTACTGACTACTAAGACTAGCCTATGGCCTTGATCTCTTCCATCCAAATGCTAACTAGATCTCATCCTGCTTGGTTTTTCAAGCCCAGGAAAGATGGGCTAAGTCCTTAAGCTTTCTAGGCATCTGAAGATGCTAAGGAATGAACAACCAATGTCCTCCAAGACCGAGCATGGCCTCAAGAACTAACCTTTACCATTTCCTTAGTCCGAGACTGAAAGGGTCTATTGCAAATGCCTGGAAATTGCAAGATATACTTCCTCATCTAGCTCAAAGCTGATCCCAGGACAAGACTGAAGAGTGACCAGGACCCGTGGACATCGTAGCAGGTTCACATCCCACTCAAAACAGCTGGCTTTGTTAGGCTGGATTGTGGGAAAAATAAGGAACTTGAGCTTCTCATATTAGAATGGTGAAGCATTAGAATCTGTGCACTGATGCTACTGTATGAATGAAGAAATGCTTTGTACTCAAGCCTACCAAAAACTAAGCAAAGATTTCTGCATCTCCCAGTGTGGACTCCTAAAGGGAACTCCTGGAACTGAAACCTGAAGACCCAAGTGTGGTCCTGCATTCAACTCGGCTTCTGGATTCAAGCTTAAAGTCCCTGTCTGTGATTCCCTGTACCCCCTCCTCCCCCCAACATTCTTTTTGTCTCTAGTATCCCTCCCTTCCTTTCCTGGCTTACTTCCACAGGACCACAAGCTGTTTGCCTGACAGTGGAGAAGAGCACATTGCTGCTATTAAAAAGTCTGACCCACAAATTCCCTCCCCATTGTTTTGGAACAGGGCTTGCTGCTAAGCAACCAAAGAGAAACAAGACATGGACTCCTCATCTCATCCCAATAGTGGTGGTAGTGGGGGAGAGGCAGGTAAATTGGCCAAGCATGCAGCAGACGGAACCCATTTCAGGAGACCATGGCGATAACACCAAGTACGAAAGTTCTTCGTGCTACATGTCAACTGTAGGAGAAAGGTGGTGGACCTCAAGTGGCCAATCAATGCAGATGGACACAGGTGGATTCCACCCCCTCTGCCTTCAATAAATTGTGTTAACCTCCCTCCAACATTCTTAAAAACAGGAAGATCCAAATTAGAAGGTCCATGTCACTGGGATGACTTGAAGGTCATCGTTACTCTCAAGGCTCAAGTGACATCTGTGTTTTTGTTGCTGGAAAGGCTGCTGGGCCACGGCCATGAGAAACGAATGGGAAAGCATGTACAGCAATTCCCCAGGGAAGTAAGATGGATGACCATTAGCTACAGGGGTGCTTGATGAACGGTTCTCCATATTGCTCCTGTACAAGACTATCAGCTGCTGAAGAGGCAGGAGAATAAACCTGGGTCTGGGAAGACTTTCAGGAAGGGAGAAAAATGGGAAAAGCAACAGGTTGGATGGTAAAACACTCTGCACTGCTGAGTAACAAATTAATCACGGGATAATGATTTGCTAGAAGACCCCCAAATCTGCCACAGGATTGGGAACCTGTATGCATATACAAGTTATCTTGATGATGGATGAAGCCTGGCTAGAGAATGAAAACACACACACACACACACACACACACACACACACCAGCAGGAAGTACAAGGAGAAGGATCTATCAGCCCACCCACCAAACCAAATTAATTATTTTTATCCTCCTACCCTGCCCTAAGGGCAAACGAAGCAGCACACAAATTAAAAAGAGCACACTTCTGATATAAAATAGCAGTCCGTCATGATAAAAGAAAGGAATAGGAAACAGCAGTAGATAAAAGCTAAAATCTGATGAAAAGATAAACACCTTATCATGGGAGAAAATTTATTAACTAAGACCATACTGAAACTGCCTTCAGGAAGACTATAAAAGAAGGAGCACCAGAGATTTCTGTGTAAGCTATAAACAGTGTCACTGCCTCTGTCTCTAGCATCCTGTTACAGGCGTGACTGGATACAGACTGGGGCCTCCGTTGCTGGTGACACGTGTAAAATTTTTCATCTAGCAGCATCCAGATATTACAACCAGTTTTTATTTTCCTAGCTGCTATGGGTTCAGACTTCTAAGTCCAGTGCATTATCAGTTAAATGCAAAAATACAATGGCAGGTGTCAAAATAAACAGAGCAACCACTGGTAACATGATTGACATCTGCATTGCTGGATGTTCAGATAGAAGGCATCTAAGATGACATTCTATTAAATCCCTGCCTGAACTTCGGCCCTAACACTGTTCTCTATAAATATGGTGAGTTCATACAGTGTGATTTATTTGGTTTGAGATTAGCAGGTGATGTGAGCCTAAAAATAACGTATTTAGCCTATGATCTGTGGCTGTCCAATATATGTAAATTCAGCCAGTTGTGGCTTATTCAAGAAACAATGACTAAGGACAACGGGTAAGCCCAGACATTGATTTCCAGATGTGAGATGCACTTTTTAAAAAAAAAAATGTTACAACTGGAAGGCTTTTTTCTGAAGCCATTCTAAACCCAGTAAAACCAACTCTGCAATACTCAACTATTATATTTAATTAGGCTGAAGAAATTTGGGTCTTATTTAGACTGGTCAACTATTGAAAGAGCCGAGGTGGCGCAGTGGTTAGGGTGCAGTGCAGGCCACTTCAGCTGACTGTTATCTGCAGTTCGGCGGTTCAAATCTCACCAGCTCAAGGTTGACTCAGCCTTCCATCCTTCCGAGGTGGGTGAAATGAGGACCCAGACTGTGGGGGCGATATGCTGACTCTGTAAACCGCTTAGAGAGGGCTGAAAGCCCTATGAAGCGGTATATAAGTCTAACTGCTATTGCTAACTGCTATTGGATAAGAATCTAACCTTGCACCTAGAAGCTTCTTGGATGAGAAGTGAAACTTCTTTCTCTTCCTCAAAAAAAAACAAAAACAAAAAAACAACAACCCATCTCTTTGGAAAAGGCACCTTTGAGACAACTATAACCTGGATGACTGAGCACTGCATAGACATTTAAGTCTTGCACTAATACACACCAGGTGATTCCCTGTAACATTTGTTGAAAAAACCCAACAAAACAAATTGAATAATCTTATTTTGTACTTCTAGCTAGTGAAAATGCTGGTAGGAAATGGTAAAGCTGACTGCAAGTGCCATGCTGAAAAGACTGGATTACTGTAACACACTCTACATGGGGCTGCCCTTGAAGAGTGTTCAAAGACTCCAGTTAGTCCAGAACGCAGCCGCGCGAGCGATAGTGGGTGTACCTAGGTACACCCACGTTACACCTATCCTCCGCGAGCTGCACTGGCTTCCCATTGGTCTCCAGACACGCTTCAAGGTGGTAGTCGTTACTTTTAAAGCCCTACATGGTATCGGACCTGGCTACCTGAGAGACCGCCTCCTGCCAATTACCTCCCTGAGGCCTATAAGATCGCACAGACTAGGCCTCCTCCGGATTCCATCTGCCGGTCAATTTTGACTGGCGACTCCCCTGGAGAGGGCCTTCTCTGTAGCTGCTCCGGCCCTATGGAACGATCTCCCCATTGAGATCCGGACCCTTACTACCCTTCCGGCCTTCCGCAAAGCGACCAAGACCTGGCTGTTCCGGCAGGCCTGGGGCTGTTGACTTTGTCCAGCCCCATCCTAAGTTGTGAATGTTGTGGATCTTTTAATGTTGTCCTGTTTTTTTATGTCTTCCCCTTTCCCTTTTTTACTTGTAAGGCGCCCTAAGTCTCTTTGAGAGTGGGCGGCATACAAACTAATTAAATAAATAAATAAATAAAGTTTTCTTAGACCATAAATTTAGTCCTGGTTGGACCACTGAAAAAGTTACTTTGATGTAAAGGTTAAGGCAACAGGCTAGAAACCAAGAAACCGTGAGTCCTACTCTTAGGCATGAAGCCAGCTGAGTGAGCTTAGACCAGTCACTCACTTTCAACTCAAGGAAGGAGGCAATGGCGAATCCCTTCTGAAATCTTGCCAGGAAAACTACAGGGACATGTCCAGGTGGTCACCAGGAATCAACTCTGGCTCAAAGGTGTCGAAAGAAAAAGGCCAGAGAATCTAGGGGGCAAAGAAAAATTTCCATCTGCTGTAAACCATGTTAAGACTGCTGGTCTGAAGTGCTAAAGCAACCTCATTGTGCAGTTTGGAGACAATGGTGCCACTTGGAATATTTAAAAGCAGCCCAATTCCATTATAGTGACCATATCATTTTAACATTTAGTACCTGGCGGTTCTTATTTTCCCCTGCCTCTGTGTGGAGGGTTTTTAAGACCACAATTCCGAGAGCTTTCCAACTTTTCTTCTTATGTAATCTATTCTGGGAGCTTTTCATGCTACAAAGGTTGGTTTAAAAATCACAAAACCAGGGACAAATTTCTTGGCATTGCAGCTCTATCCATTTCTATTAACTTGGAAACAAGAATGGGAAAACAGGGTGCTGAACTCTGAAAAATGAAAAGCATAAATCCTTCCAGATCCTTCAACACCCTTCTTAAAGCATTTGATGCTCCCCAGTTTTAATTTCCTTGAGAAAAGAACCCCTGGCCTGGTCAAGTTCCTGAACCAAATTTAAATAAACAATGACTTTTTATCACTCAGCCTTTCGCTGGCTGAAAGAGTCCAAACCTTACAGAGAATTGGTTTCCAAGCATGTGTTTCCCATTTTGCAGCCAGCTGACCGGATCGGCATTCCTGTCACTCACGTCCAACAAGCTTATGAAAATAAGAAAAAGGCCTAAGGTTCAACAAGCTCCCTCCCATTGAGAGGAAAAGAGAGAGAACAATGTTGAATTGCATAAACAGTTTGGTAATGAGAAACACAGGGTGTTTTACGAGGTTGATGTAAGGCCTCCTGGCCATCTGAAAAGGCCTCCTGGCCCAGGAGCAAAAACAGATCAATTTTCTGATTGTAAATTTGCCTTAGTTCAGAAGATGCGGAAGAAGGAACTTGGAGAGGAAAATGAGTTGAAGAAACCCTAAGCTATGATTTGTTCTGCTTGAGGTTAAGATGCTTTCAGGCTGAGCAAAATTTTCAAAAGAAAGACATGAGTGGGGGTTGCAACCCACAAAAACACTAGGATAGTATTTCAGATGAAGGGCTGACTTTTAAATTACACGTCATCCCAATGGAATTTTTGCACCGTTGACTTTAGAGTGGGTTGAAAAACACACCCGCCTTTCTGATCTTCTCCCAGAGGTCACGCTGCAAGAATTTGGGGTTTTTCCCTCCCCCCCACCGTTCCCCTCTTTTATTTTTTTTAAGTTGTCTTCCCTCTACAAGAAAATCAAAAAGACAGTACTGACAGGAAGAAGGTTTGTAAAAGACAGAGAAGATAAAAATGTTGCCATCAGAATTTTGGTGAGCAGAATATCTCAAAAGAGTGACTGGTTCTGTATTTCCTCTGTAAGTTCCAAAACTGGATACTTGGAACTAAAATGTTACTAGGAAGGGATTTCCCACAGCGCAGTGAATAGCACAGCAGTCGTGTGAATAGAGTCATGAAAGTTTCTAACTTGCATCCAATGTTTACTAGCCAGTTGGGAGAAGATGGATGGGAAATTCCAAGCCCCCCATAAGAGACCACCTCCTGTCTATGATGGGCAGAGATGAGAGATATCTTTTTCTTTCAGGTTCCTTAAATATAAGACCGTATGTTTCAGATATAAGAAGCTTGGGATAGTAAGTTAAAGATTTAAGAATAAACAAGGCTGGGGAATATTTTGTATGTATATCAGAGTGTGCATTGTGTGGTTTACCTCAAAGTGTGTGCGTGCTGGTGGAAGGGTAGTGTAGATGTGCGTGTTTTTGGAGTGTCACTACCATGGCTTCTGGGAAACAGATATTCTGAAGTCTTGTGGGAGTGCCAATACATGCTTTGGCACCTCAGTTCCATCCCAGCCTTCTTACTAAGCTATTTTTTTTTTAAATCATCATTTTGCCTGGTGATAAACAACCACATTGGCTTATGCAGGCCTGGACATGAGCAGCTTCTTAGGTGACAGCCATTTTATGATGAGAAACACCCATGATGGAGTCTCCAAATTCCAGCTGGTTACAAAGGATGAAGGATCAAGCTGAAGCACCTCTCAAGAGTGCTTGGCAAATGACCTTTCTCCTCACACATGCCACCCGATCCCACTTGTTTTCAGTGGGAGATTCCTGAGACCACCAAACCCATGACCAATTGCATGTAAGGCAGATATTTTGCACCCAGCTAAACCATTCCTGATTGGAGGAGGAAAGCAAATGGGCTTATTATTTATTTAATTAGATAACAGGTCCATGTAGCTCAATATGGCATATGCTGTAAAAGGTTTTTTTTCTTTTCACTCTTCTAGACTTGAAGTATCAAGGATTCCATCAACTTTGCTGCTGACGTATGACACTTCATCATCAATCTCGTGCTATCCAAAGTTTTGGCATACTTTAAATGGGAGTTGCCAAAGGGAATCTGGTAGTCCCTTAAGGACTGGCTGAGCAAAGCCACAGACACTCTAGAAACTGTGCTTGCCTTACCACAGCATCCAGGAAGTGGATACATCGTAGGAGTTCCATCTGGGTCTCACAAAACTGTCGAAATAGCAGTCGGCCGATGGGTTGCTTGTCACACAAACTGTTGTAATCTCGTTCTACAAAGGAAGATATGGAGAAGGAATTATTGTCACTTGTAAGCAGACAGTTTTCAACCATGGGGCTTTCAAGGGTGGCCTTCTTAGTAGAAGAGCTTCAAATGCAACAAGTTGGAATGCCATTTTTAAAGCTGGGGTGTCCAACCTTGGCACCTTTAAGACTTGTGGACTTCATCTCCCAGAATTTCCCAGCCAGCATGGCTGTAAATATTTATAGCTAAAGATGCACACAATTCCCCAAAGAAGAGGGCTACGTTTAAATTTCAGATCATAGTTCATGAGATCTGGATTTTAATTTGCTTTGCTCTGTAGCCAAAATTATCTGAATGGCGCACAAAAAATGAAACCAAGTCTTGTTATGAATGTATGCTAATTCAAACATTGTTTTAAACCACAATGTGCTTAACATTGGTTTTTAAAATAAGCAATAATTTAAACTCATTTATTATGATTTCAAAAGGACAATGGCTGGACTCATTATATAAGCACATAACAAACAAGCCGCATTAATGTTTAGTGTAATGTGTGAATACGGATGATACTGGGGATTATCATTACACATCTGAATTCTGAGCACATGAAAGTAGAAAAAAATTCTAAATTATAATTCATCTTTTTAGCTACAAAACTGTTCAGCTTTGAGATGATATTTTAGCTGATCTCAAAATACAATTTTTTCAAACAAAGATGACCTTTGGGTGCAGGGGGGGGAAAAACCCTGGATTCTCAAAACTTGCTTTTCAGATACTGAGAAGGCCAGATCTTTTTTGCACATAGGTGCTCATGGCACTTTCCATGTCTGCAACTTCTGGTTGTCACAATCATATCCTGCTGAGCCCACCCAGGAGCCCATCTGCCTTTGCCCAACTCCTTCGCATTCCCCATTTCACAAACCTGCCTTTAAACTCTTTTGTAAACATACTTTCAAGCAGAAGGAACATGTTCTCATTTGCATCTCAGCATGCTCCTTCTGGGAACAAACTGACTTATGAGAAGATGGGGGCAGATGCAAGAATCTCTAATAGTCTACAAGGGCCTGGGAGAACAGCAAGCTTACTTAAAGTCAGAGACCAGGCTGCACAATCACCAAGGATATTAATTTACTCTTTGCGTTGATTCACTTGAAAAAAAAGGCACACAAAAGTTCTTCCAAAGAGATGACTTGAAGATGATTCGATGCATGAAAATCACACATTAGGCATGATGGAAGTCACTTCCAACTACCCCATGATAATCAGTATAATACAGTAGTTATGTGCTGCATTAGGAGTGGGAAGGCTCTCCCATTTCAATCACTAAGTCACAGTGACTTCAGACCTTTATTCCCCTCCGTCTACCCCCACCCCAATACTTGTAAGGATTTTAGGAATTAAATGGATCTACTAAGGCTTGTAAAATCTGAGGAATCACACAGTCATATTTTAACAGGTCATCAAATTTCAGCAGTGCAATTCTGGAAAACTTGGGAATCACTCTTGGAAGTGGGTAATGGACAAGAGTGTACAGGGCCCATGATGATCAAAATGGGATGGATGAAATTATAGCAAATCTTTATCCAGCAGTTTATTTAGTATTAGACATTTAGAGAGCTGGAAGGGATCTTGTAGGTCATCTAGTCCAACCCCCCCCAACCGAGCAGAAGACCCTAAACAATTTCTGACCAATGGCAGTCCAATCTCTTCTTGAAAGCCTCCAATGATGAAGCTCCTACAACTTCCGAAGGCAACTTCTGTTCCATTGGTTGATTGTTCTCACTGTCAGAAAAAGGGCACTGGTCTTATCTGACATGCTCCTTCTCAGAGCTGACAAGCTCCTTCTCGGAGTTTCTTGGCTCAGCACACTGGAGAATGTCTCCTTATTTCTAGATTGAATCTCTCCTTGGTCAGTTTCCATCCATTATTCCTTGTCTGGCCTTCAGCTGCCTTGGAAAATAGCTTGACCCCCTTCCTCTCTGAGGCAGCCCCTCAAATATTGGAACACTGCTGTCATGTCTGCCCTGGTCCTTCTCTTCACTAGACTAGCCATGCCCAGTTCCTGTAACCGTTCTTCATATATTTTAATCTCCAGTCCCCTTGGCTGCTTTTCTCTGCACTTTTTGTAGAGTCTCAACTTTCTTTCAGTGGCCAACCAGATGTGTCCAAGATGCTCACAAGAGAGATGGAGACACTTCTCTCCCATCATAATTTTCTTACAGCTGGGATTTGGAAATGTGCAACCCCAAACTGTATAGAAGTTCAAGACTAATCACCTGCAACAGATCAATCCTCTCTAATTGATTCAGTCCTGACTTGGCTAGATTCTGCATTGATTCAACCCATTTATTAAGTAAATTAAGCTAAGTAAATTGCCATTGCCATACCAATTGGTGATGAATTCCCCAGATAATTATTACTTCTCCTCCAACAAATGCACAGTCTAAAATTTAACAGAGTAGTAAGGAAGAGATCTAAGAACAAAAGTTGTTGAACAATTGATTATTCATACTTCGTTTTGCTCTCGGAACCTTTCCTCATTTCTCTGTTAAATGTATTCATTGGAGGAGAAATATCACCTCTAATACCTTTCCCACGGTTTGACATTTGACCCCACAGTCTTACTGAGGGGAGGTTACTATGCTCCATTTATACATTGAGTCCTGGCAGGCACCATGTCAGGTGGTTGTTCAAAGCCAGGCACCTTTTGCGTGGTCATTTATATGTCAACCTATGTCTGGATGTTCAGCAACCCATTTGGCTTTCCATTGGGAAGTGATGATATATGAAATCCTACTCTGATGAGGCAAGAGTAACTCTGCTGATCACAAGGAAGTAAGCTGGCATCATTTTGTGGTGCTTTTGGCTAACAGTTCTTGCATTTCCTTGAGTATAGGGAGGAGGGGTCTGTCTCTTGTTGCACTTACCCAACCCTTTCCGGAGCTCATCACATTGGCTGATGTGTGGGAACTTGAGGATCTCTCTCCATTTCTTGCTCCTTCCTTTCCGTTTCCCTCCACCTCCTACAAATCAGAGAGAGGAGAGGGAAGAGGAGAATGATGAATGTGAATAATACAAAGACTTGTAATAAGTTTATTTTCTGACTCTTGTTTTATCTTCCTTCTAGAATGGCCAGGACGATGTTGGTTCCCGTGCAGCACATACAGAGCAGCACAATACCAGCCATAGCAGTCAACCCGATCCACCATAAATGAGAAGAACATCCTGGCACAATTTTTATTAGGTAGAGTGCTTGTATTTAACCTAGTTATAATTTGATCAAATATTATTTCTTACTATTGTATTTTGGATTATGCAATCATGTCTTTAGAATTTGCAACCTCCTTTATATCCCATGCATCAATTAACCCCCCCCCAAAAAGAATTTGTACAAAAATAACTTAAAGGTGAAGTAAAACAACAAAAACATCTTTCTAAATGGAAGAAAATTTTTAGAAGACTGAAACTTGATGGTTAAATGCAAAGCAAAAACTGATGAACAGCGTCCCAGAGAATTCAAAGAAGCAATTACATTATCTGACACATTTCAACAAATCTCTTTGTCAGGTGCAAGAACCACAGGCTTCTTTAAAGTATTTTTACTGACACATACAAGGCAGTCTGGACAGACTAAACAGACTTGGCATCCTCCAGGTTCTTTAAAAGAAAAAAAAACTGGCATAAGGCTGGTTTGTAGAAACATCCAGCTCTCTTTAATTTACAGCCCTTTGAAAGTCTTCTTTCAAGCAAGGGGCAGTAAGTCTGTGTCTTCTTCCCAGATTTTATCTATCCAAATAGGCTAATACAGTGTTTCTCAACTGTGACAGCTTTAAGATGGGTTGACTTCAATTCACAAAATTCCCCAGCCAGTGAACCCAATTCTGGACATTGAAGTTCATCCATCATAAAGCTGCCAAGGTTGAGGAACACTGGGCTAATAGCATAAATATGCCCTTAGCTTAAATATGGTCACACTTGACCGCTAGCCATAGAAATGTGCATGACTGAGATTTGGAGGGCAACAGGCATCAAGTATATGCAACTATCTGAATCATGGAAAGCACCATGCGGAAAAAGTACAGAGAAGCAGAAAGCTTACTGATTGAAGGGGAAGATTTCCCCTTCAGGTCTTCTCCCAAAGGGCACTGGAATTGGATAATGGTCATTTCAAGCAGAGGTGACATGCTGATTCTTACCACTCTGCAATATGTTATTTCTCGTTGGTTTAAAATAATGCCCAAATCAAGCTTATGATTTGGCATAATCTCAAAATGATGAACTATAGTTGAGTTTATTGTTCAACCTCCAGAGGCTGCTTCCCATGGAAACAGGAGTGCACTTATGATTCTGAGTGCTTGAATGAGAACATAAGTGCTTTGCTGGATGAGATCAAGGTCTTCATGGTCCAGCATTCTTGGTCAGAATCCCAGGAATCAGAAAATATTAGACCAGCCATCCCCAATTGGTACCCTCCTTGTGGATAGTTCCAACATATTTAGAAGGCACAAAATAGTCATTAGATGATTTATAAGAACAAAGTCCCAGGGGTCCATCTTGAACCTATTGCTTGCTAATACAACCTACCGCACTCTTCACCTCTAAACCACTGCTTGTCAACATTCCTCTCCACCTCTGTAACAAGTTAAAGCTATTATATTTTTGTCCTTCCGTATCAGCAGACTTCCAGCCTGTTGTGGATAGCTAAGAAACACTCTGCGCAATACAGAAATAGAAGATTGTATCTCGCTTCATAGGTGGTCCTGACAGATTCTACATGAGATGACATTTCCCATTGTACAGATAGGGTTCCATGTGGAAGAGAAGTTAAAACAAGCATGGACTTTGAGATAATCCTTCAAGGAGTGTCTTAATCAAGTAAACCCCAAATAATGAACACAAGGAGGAGGAGTTTAGATATTCCAAGCATTTCATGCATGTTATCTTGATCAACTTATAATAACTAAGGCTATGCAAGGCATTTGAAAAGGGTGCTTACAGTGAGTGTTGGCATGAGTGAAACAATCTACCCCAAAATATTCAAGTAGCCATATTTTTAGGAAGGCTCAACAAGGCTTCCCTGATAAGTGCAGGTCCCTGCACAGATGACTTCTTTTGGGACTGCTAGCAAAACCAAAGCAACAATTCCTGTAAAGGTAGATAACCAACGAAATCCTTTGAAACTTCTAGGATGTAGCTACTTTAATAAATTGAATAAGGGTACTTTTATTTTCCCTAGTACACTTAGGAAAGTAACCTCATATTTTACAGGGCAGATTCCTCCTAGTAGTGATGGCTGAGGTTGCCAAATTGAGTACATTTGGCCCACAAGTATGATGTGAATTACGAATCTACATTAGCTTCCTGCCTGAGCAGGGGTTGGACTAGCAAACTTCAAGGTACCTTCCAACTCTGTTATTCTGTTATACTAACATAAATCTAACAAAACAAATATGGATTGCAAAGCTCATTTCCCTGCTCTCACTGGGATCTTCTTTGTTTCTGCTTCTTATATTTTAAAACAACTTCAGGGACCAAAATGCTTTTTTGGTTCAGCTCATCATCTAAGCATCTAATATGCTGTTAGCCTTCAATAAGATCAGATAAAAATTGGGAGAGAAATATTGGTAGACTTTCCTTGCCTAAATATGCCTTTGTTTGAGGCTAGAAGATCGTGCTGGATCCTTACATATTCATAAATGATGGTCTGTTGAGTAAATCACCCTGAATGAATCCACAAATTGCACTATACCATAACACAATAATCACACTCATCATCTGTGTCCTTGCAGATCATGGCCACAATTCCCAGCAGCCTTAGAAGAAGAAGTGGAGCACTTCAATGACATCTGGAGGGCCATTGGCTGCCAACCGTCTGCTAAAGCCACACCAAACAGCTCATATCATGACTTAGTACAATGGGTATAAACAGTGGTGGGTTTCAATTTTTTTAGAACCTCTTCTGTAGGTGTGGCCTGCTTTGTGGGAGTGGCTTGCTGGCCATGTGACTGGGTGGGAGTGGCTTGCCAGCCACGTGACTGGGTAGGCATGGCCAACTTGTAAAATGTGGTGAAACTCACTTAACAATGCTCTTGCTTAGCAACCAAAATGTTGGCTCAGAAACTCTGGCATTTGAAGCATGCAAGTCTTAAAGCTGTCAAGTTACAAGACCCTTGCACCCCTAACCCTTTAGAAAAAAAAACCCAGGGGTGTTCAAACTTGACAGGTTTAAGACTTGTGGACTTCAACTCCCAGAATTCCTCCTCTCACTCTTCATCTTGATGATGTGCGGACGGGCGGGGGGAGGGAGCTGGAACCGGTTCTAAACAGCACTGTAGATTTGTGGAACCTCTTCTATAAAGAGGTTAGAACTGGCAGGAACCCACCCCTGGGTATAAGAGGCAAAAATAGGGTATGGTGGAAAACAAAATAGCCCAGTTCTCAGTGAAGCTTACAAGGTGCACTAGGACTAATCCTTATCTCTCAGCATCACCTATACAGGTAGTACTCAACTTACAACAGTTCACTTAGTGACCGCTCAAAGTTACATTACTGAAAAAGTGACTTATGACTGTTTTCACCCTTATGACCATTGCAGCATCGCCATTGTCACATGATCAAAATTCATACACCAGGGAACTGACTCGTATCTGTGACGGTTGCAGCATCCTGGGGGTGGGGAGTGGGATTGTCAAGTGATCACCCTTTACAACAGTGTTTCTCAACCTTGACGACTTTAAATCCTATGGACTTCAACTGGCTAGGGAATTCTGGGAGTTGAAGTCCACAGGACTTAACGTCACCAAGGTTGAGAAACACTGCTTTACAACCTTCTGACAAGCAAAGTCAATGGGGAAGCCAGCTTCACTTAACAACCATATTAGTAACAACCATGTTACTAACTTAACAGCTGCAATGGCTCACTTAACAATTGTGGCAAGAAAGAGCTTAAAATGGGGCAAAATTCACTTAACTGTCTCGCTTAGCAACATACATTTTGGGCTCAATTTTGGTCGTAATTTGAGGACTATCTTCTGTTACATCTGTGATGAGAAAAAGGCAATAGGAAACTACATATATTACCATGAGACTCATAGACACAAGGAAAGAGACAAATGAAATAAATAAGAGGAAGGAAACAGAAAGCACTTAAGTACTTGTTCTTCTAACTACAGGAACTACCTTCTAAACTTTTCTCAGGGTTTTCTAGGCTCCAGGAGGGGTTGCTCCATTCCTGCTCTTGTAATTAATCTTTTCCCTTTCATAAAGGTTGTCCCTTCAGTAACCTTGTTGAACCAATTCCAAGAGTTGAGGAACTTCACTTTCAGAGACGATTCTTGGAGCTGAAGACTGAAGGTGGTTCCCACTTCCGCCATGGACAATGCGTCCATCCTCTGGTCTCACCCATTAATGGCCAACTAGCTTCCTTATCTCACTGGCTGCCATCAGGAGACTCCGTCTTGTCCAAGACAATGGCCTTCCGTGCACAATGCAGACGCCTTAAGTTGAGGAAACTCCCCAGAATGATAATCCACCCATAGTAGGAAGCTATCGCTTGCTCTTTCTCAGATGCACTCACATACTGCACATCAGGGGTGTCTAACACAAGGCCCAAGGGTAGGATCCGGCCCAAGGGGTGCTTAGATGTGGCCCTGGAAACAGCGAAGGACTGGCCCGCAGTGCCTCTACCAGTGAAAATAGGCTCCCGAGCTCCGTTTTCAGTTGTGTCAGCCTCCTGCAGCCCTCTGCCAGTAAAAATGGAGCTTGGGAGGGCCGCATGGCCACCGTGTCCACACCCACCCTGTCCCCCTGAGGTCAAACATGATCCTGATGTGGCCCTCAATGATATCGAGTTTGACACCCTCATACAGATAGCCCTCAATATATGACCATAGGAACAGTTGTTAAGTGAATCCTCCTGTCATTAAGCAAATCAGGCTTCCCCTATTGACTTTGCTTGTTGGAAGCTGGGTGGGAAGGATACAAATGGTGATCACATGACCCTGGGACAGCGATATGTCACAAA